TCTAAAGCTTCAATAAGCTTAGCTCGATCAACACTACCAGGTTGATAACTTCTCTATTATAAATATCAATTAAAATTAGATCAATTGTTTGTTTAATTGATTTAGGTTGATAATAAAAAAATAATTTTTTTTTATAAGATAATTAAATAAATAAACTTACCAATGGTTCGTTATGAATTTCTGGTATTTTAAAAGTTCCAAGTGTAGCAGACATTTTTTATATTTAGTTAAAAAGTATTGTAATTAATTTATATAAAAAATTTTTTTTAATCAAAAATTTTCCAGCCTATTTATACTTTTAATAATTTCAGGGGAGAGCTTCTTTTACTTTCATAAAAATTAGATTTTCATATAAATCTGATTAAATTGATCAAATTATTTATTCCCACGAATTAATTAATGATTTCATTCTTCATATATGTTAATAATATGCACGTTAAATTTTGTATGCAGATTTTAGAAAAAAAATTTTTAATATAAAGTTTCTCATCTAATCTTATGAGGCAACGAAAATAAAGTTAAAATTATCATAGTAGGAACAGAGAGCAACTCCACATGAACGTGAAAGTTTTCACTTGGCCTTTTTCCTTGGCCTTACTTTAAAGTTGTTGTTGCTATTTAAATTTTATTATGATTTAGATTCAATTCATTATAATTAATCTTTTTATGCACAATTCGGAAAATGTAGAAATGCATGTTTGTTCCTTGTAAATAAAAAAATAGCTAATTAGTTTTGTTACAGTACATTAAATTTTTTAAATAGTCTTAATGTGTATATATATTCAGTATAACCATATAGTATTAGTTATTAGAACGCAGCTTTTCGAAAATACTACATACATAATAAATAATATACTGTACATCAGGAAATTTTTTTAGGGGATAAATATCGAGATACATCATTTATCGATATTTATCTCAATAAAAAAATCGAAAATTAACGAAATAAGATAATTTGCGATAATTATTTTACGATATTAATATGTAACGATATTTAGCATCATCGAAATTAATTACCAAGATAATTAATGATAAAGATAATATATGAAATTAATCACCAAGATAATTAATGATAGAGATTATATACGAAATTAATCAGATTGATTGCTTATTTCCTTCATGTCTGTTTGATTCTTGTTATGGTATAATTATGTACTTTCCTTTTGGCTCTAGAATTTGCACTTGTACTAGCCGCACTCATAGTACTTAGTTTCTTCAAGTATTTTATTGCTGATTCTCTTGACGGTTTTCCTTCTAGAGCTATTACCAATTAATTTATTCTTTGTAAATTTTGTTAATTTCATCTCTCGATTTTGATTCATTGTATGTTAATAAATTAATAACAAATTGTTTGTTCCCGCAAGTGGAAATTTAGAAATTAATTTCAAATGTTCCATGAAACAAAAATTAATTTCTTCGTTTTTTACGCTTCCATTTGTTTCTTCTTCTAACGTCTTAGCTCTTTTTTTAATTCAAACATGGTGTTCTACCAATGCTTAAAATTCTTTCTTGCTATTTAATTACAGTTACCAGCATTTTACATTTCCTAATTAATTGTAATTTATTTTTCTTTTCTTTATAACGGTCTCTTTTTTTAATTTTTTCTAGACTTTGTTTTGCAAAACTTTGATCCTATAACGATCACTTGTTTTGACGTTTCTTCCTCCTTGCATTATTTCATTTGTTCTTCCATCAAAGATCCTATTATCCTTTCGGTATCCATTTCTTTTCTTTATTTCCATTCTTTAATTAAAACTTTCCGAATGTATTATTTTTAAATTTTCGTAGGTCCAGGCTCCCTTTTTTTTTTTGAACTATTTTCCAAAGACTCAATCTATTTGAATTTAAGAGGTGTATCTAGTCCTCTGGTTCGTTTGTGCTTTGTTTGTATTTTGTTTTGCTAATCATAATGATTTTGGAACATTTCGGCAATTGAATTTTCATGTTCATTCATGTTCCGTCTTCTCTCCTAGGATACTTTTTCCGTGACAGGGTGTCTGATCAATTCTTCCGTATAAAAGGGTCGAATTTTGAATTTTCAAATTTTCGAACTTTAACCTTTTCAAATTTTCAAATTTTAACCTTTTTGAATTTTTGAATTTTAACCTTTTTTGAAAGTTATTAAAATTTTTAAAACAATTTCTTCGATCTATTTGTCGTCATAACCTTTCTTTAACACTTCATTGATTCTAAGGGTATATTTTCGTCATAGCCTTCCTTGAGCGCTTCTTTGATTCTAAAAGTATAGTTTTTAGTTATAGTCTTCCTTGAACACTTTGTTTATTTTAAAACTATAATTTTTTTCATAGCCTTTCTTGAAAACTTCTGTATTCTAACAGTATATTTTTAGTCATAGCTTCTCTTGATCTTTTGTCCCCTATCCTTTACTACTATCACTAGGTATTCTCAAGGTGCAGTTTTACTTCGTTTGCTTTTTATCTCTGGAATTTTGGCTTCTTCAGCCATTAAATATATAGTATATGATAATAACATATAGTGTCTTTCAGTGGTGATAGTATTTACTCTTCCTTTTATTTGGTGGCTATGGTGTTAATGCTTCCTTTCATCTTTATCCTTGTTTTTACAGGTAATGTTTTTCTTACCATGTATCCCCCATAAAAAATTTAGTCAGAAAATGTATGGAATACATATGGAATTATACATGAAAAGAGCACTTTTCCCCTACAAGCAACATAGAACAATCAAATGGGGGATGGTTTTCTTAACTAATGATTAAGGTTGGCCAGACCACTAACCATCAGAGAGGATCATGAAATAATTCACAATGGCTTTTCCTCTTAAATATGTAAAAATTCATAATGTGTTTATTTTAATTATTAATAACAGAGGTGGGGGTAATTATTCAATTGTTATATGTTATTATGAATGTTATATTCAATATTATCCCTCTAACTTGCTAAATGCAATAAATATTACTCAATATTAATCATTTTAGTTAAATTTCTAAATTTCAATAATTTATCAATATTTATTTAGCATAGCGGGCTTTCTCTGTGATTGGCCGACGCATAATGAAATTGATTGGATGATTTATTATTACGCCGATCATTAACTATTAATCAATTTTTTAATGTTATCCTCAAGAACAATAACTAGCCGCACTCATAGTACTTAGTTTCTTCAAGTATTTTATTGCTGATTCTCTTGACGGTTTTCCTTCTAGAGCTATTACCAATTAATTTATTCTTTGTAAATTTTGTTAATTTCATCTCTCGATTTTGATTCATTGTATGTTAATAAATTAATAACAAATTGTTTGTTCCCGCAAGTGGAAATTTAGAAATTAATTTCAAATGTTCCATGAAACAAAAATTAATTTCTTCGTTTTTTACGCTTCCATTTGTTTCTTCTTCTAACGTCTTAGCTCTTTTTTTAATTCAAACATGGTGTTCTACCAATGCTTAAAATTCTTTCTTGCTATTTAATTACAGTTACCAGCATTTTACATTTCCTAATTAATTGTAATTTATTTTTCTTTTCTTTATAACGGTCTCTTTTTTTAATTTTTTCTAGACTTTGTTTTGCAAAACTTTGATCCTATAACGATCACTTGTTTTGACGTTTCTTCCTCCTTGCATTATTTCATTTGTTCTTCCATCAAAGATCCTATTATCCTTTCGGTATCCATTTCTTTTCTTTATTTCCATTCTTTAATTAAAACTTTCCGAATGTATTATTTTTAAATTTTTTGAGCATTAACTTTTTGGAACATTAAACTTTTCATAATCTTAACATTTCAGTGGAGAGAGTGCTAGTATTGCAACATCTGTGGCCAAGAACACAGGAAGGTCAAGTACTGCAGAAAGAAAAAAAATGGGTGATCATGGTGATTGGATTCTCCAAACTACTGGGAAGGGTGATCTTGAAGAGTTTGGTGCAGGAGAAGCAGGGCATATGTGGTTTGATGAATATGGTAGTAAATTTTTGTTTGAATCAAAATTGAAACTTCCGAAAATTCTTAAAAATATGCTGGTGAAGTTAATGAAAAAAGCAAATTGGAACAAAAGTCAAACCAAACAGATGCAAACTATTGGTATTATACATGCAGGTAAATACAAGTTGATGTTACTTCTAGCAGACTTTTTATGATTGAACTTAATATTAATTATTGAATAAAATTTATAGGATTATTGATGATGGTTTTGTATATTGATAACCCTAATGGATATATTTGCAGATTGAACCAAAGTGAAATGATGGAAATTTTAGATAATGAAGATCTTTCATCTGTTTTGTTGGTTTTGGCTGCTGTTCTTAATTTAAAATCTTCAGTAGAAGAGACAATAAAAGCTGCTCAAAATAAAACAAAGCCAACATTTGAAAAGGCTGGTATGCCAAGACAATCTTTTGATGTGACTGTAGTGTTCCATGTCGCAATCCAAAAAGGAAACCAAAGTGGTTGCAAAGGTGGTTGCAACCAGGTGTCGCAAACCATTTTTATATGTTGCAAATATGGTTGCAACCATCACCAAGAATTGTGACCAGCATATATATGTGACTGAGATTCCTTATTGCTTTTATAAACTTGAAAAAAAAGTAAGTGACTATTATTTAGCTCATGTTGATATATTCCATTAATTATTAATAATAATGTAATTTCTCAAAAAAATAGGCTAGATAATTCATTCCTACTGAAAAAATTTTTATGTATAGTTCAATTAACAAAAGAATACAATCAGAAAGAATTGGTAAATAATACTGTCTCAAAAATTTTCAAAAGGAAATAGCAAAATTGATTGTATTATTATAGATGATCAATGATTATTTTTTTTTTTCGTTGTCAGCTTCTTTAAAATATTGGATTAAAAATTATAATTGCAGTACTCATTAATTATATTTGTGGTATATACAATGATGATGTTAAACCCTAAAATTCTTGGTAATACAAATTTTCACTTTGTCTGGTTTTGTTGCAGCATGCCCCATGTAAAAGTTGCCAGGATTAGACTAGATGCATCATATATATAAGAATGGTTGAAGTTTTTTATGCAAACAATTTCCTTATTTGTATTTCTTTGGTCAAGATTGACAAGTTTTTTCATAATAAACTGAACACGGATCTTCCATACAAACTTAACTTAATGTCAATAAATAAATAAAACACTAAAAATTAATAAATAATCATACCTTAAATTTTTCCTATCATCGTTCTAAAGGTCTTCTCGTGTATTCTATGTCAGGACTATAATTTGCAAACGGATCCTCATATCCTTTGCTGAAGTGATTATAGTTAGGGATGGGACGGTTCCGTTAAGGAGCCGCTCTGTTGGATGATCTTTCCTTTTAAGAAAGATCTTTGAATATATCGCGTGAAATTTTTTCTTTATTAAATAAATATATAATAATAAAATAATAAAAAAACGAATAATTGATTCATCAGGGTCGATGTAAAAATTCTCCCGGTGGAAGTTGCCTATTTCTTGATCATCAAAGATTTCTTGTATTTGTTCATCCAATTTTTTTTTAAAAAGATATAAATTTATTTAATTTTATTGTATTAATATTAATTATAAATATTAAAACAAAGACGAAAAAACTTCCGAGTTGGTTTGGATACCAGCCTTTTTATACTTTATTTTTGCAACACATTCATTGCTAAATTCAATTACTTTATTTTCGCGACACATTGCTAAATTCAATTATCTTATTTTCACGACACATTGCTAAACTCAATTACTTTATTTTCGCGACACATTGCTAATTCAATTATTTTATTTTCGCGACACATTGTCGAATTCAATTAAAATTTTTTCGTAACACTATTACTATTACTATATATTTATTTTGCAAGAAATTACTAAAATTATTGTATTTATGTGATACAATTTCCTTTAAAAGTAGTGGACTCGCTATTAAATGACAAATGATTTTGGAAAATTCTGTTTAAAAAAAAATACATCATTTTGATTTTTGTATAATGTAGAGCGACCTATTGGAGCGGCTCCACAAGAGCCGAACGGAACCGCCCTATCCCTAATTATAGTCACGAACCTGTATAGACATATATATTATTGAAATTAAGTTTTTTGGCTGAAAAGCTGAAGTTAAGATACATACTATTTTAAAGTGAAGGAAACGGGATACGTGGTAAGAAAAACATTGCCTGTGAAAACAAGGTTAAAGACGAAAGGAAGCATTAATACCATAGCCACCGAACGAAAGGAAGAGTAAATAATATCACCACCGAAAGACACTATATGTTATCACCATATACTATATAATTAATGGCAGAAGAAGCCTAGACGTAAAATTCCGGAGATAAAAAGCAAACGAAGTAAAACTGTACATTGAGAATAGTAGTAAAGGATAAGGGACAAGAGATCAAGAAAGTTTAGGACTAAACTATACTGTTAGAATATAGAAGCGTTCAAGAAAGGCTACAAAGAAAATTATACTTTTAAAATCAACAAAGTGTTCAAGGAAGACTATAACTAAAAACTATACTTTTAGAATCAAAGAAGCTGTGACGAAAAATATACCCTTAGAATCAAAGAAGTGTTAAAGAAAGGTTATGA